GTGTGTGTGTGTGTGTGTGTGTGTGTGTTGGCGGGCGGAGGGTCTCCTGTTCTCGTGGGGTGCTCCTCTGGCCCAGGCCCGATACACACGGCAAGGCCCGTTGGGGGGGAGGTGCAGCCACGCATGCGGGCGCCCGGGTCAGCGATGGGCCCCGTGTCCGTGCAGGCGCGCCGCGCTCCGCTGCCGGATCGGGCGGCACGGGTCCCACGTCTCCTGCAGTTCAGTATTCAGTCGGGCCTGGACAGGAAGAATATGCAAAAACAGATTGCAAAAACAGTCAGGGGACGATGTTTGGACTGTTTGGTGCATGTTTGGGATACTTCTTCCAAAATCCCAAATCCCCCTGTGGGGGGACACGCCCGACTTGAGTTCAGTATCGTTTAACCGATCCCTATCCCCATCCCCATCCACATCTCGAGCCCCACCGTCACGCCACCTCGGTTGGGGATGTGCCCCTCGAAGCCCGAAGAGAGCAGCCTGAATATATATATATATATATATATATATATATATATGCGACGCTGCCAGCTACTGCCGTAGATCCTGTGAAGCTTGTTCTGGTGCTGTTCCCCCACTGAGCGCCCCCAATGCACCGAAGCGGGGGCCGAAGTGTTCGAGCTTCGCAAGAGGCAAAAGTTCAAGAGACCAAGCCAGAGCAGCGTTGGAAGATATGCGTCGGGATCGCGGCGGACGCGGGAGCGGGTCGGGTCAAACGCGGCGCCGTCTCGGGCCGCGTCGGAAGCGTCGGAACGGCGTCGCGGCAAAATAGGGAGCGCAGACGGGCAGCGCCAGGGCCACGGGAGTGTAAAACATTGTTCTTTTGCGCCTGCGAAGGGCCTCTAGCCTCTCGTCCGCCCCTCTCTCTTGGAGGCAGTTTTGAAGCCTCCAGGGGGCCGTTTGGGAGCTCTATGGGGGCCCTTTTGGGCCTCTTGGGGGCTCCTCGGGGCCCTCTCGGGCCGTGTATGGCGCCTCTTGGGCCGTCTTGGGGCCGTCTTGGGCCACCTTGGGCGCCACTTGGGCCGTCTTGGGGCCATCTTGGGCTCTCTTGGGCCCCTTTTGGGCACCTCTTGGGGTCCTCTTGGGTCGTCTTGGGCGCCCCTTGGGCCGTCCTGGGGCCGTCTGAGCCATCTTTGGGCCCTCTTGGGGGCCGTCTGGGGCAATCTTGGAGGCCTCTGGGGCTGTGTTGGACGCTTCGTAAAGGAAAATGTCGAATCTGTTGAAAATGTACATTTTACAAAGGGAATGTAGCCATTTTTGCTTGATGGAGCCCTCCTGGGGGAGCCCCCGGACCCCCCCGGAGCCGTCCGGGGGCGTCTTTGGGGCGTATGGGGCCGTCTGGAGAACATCTTGGGCCGCCTGAAAGCCGCCTTGGGTCGTCTCGGGGCCTCCGTAAGCCGTCTTGGGTTTTTCTGGGGAACTCCGACGCCGTTTCGGACCCCTCCGGGGGCCTTCCGGTGCCGTTTTGGAGCCCCCGGGAGGCTCGGGGAGCCGGGGGCCCACGCAAACCCACAAGGCCTAATTCGAATTTATTCGAATGGATATATCCATGTATATATATATATATATATATATATATATATATATATATACACGTATCCCCGCCCAGGAGAAAATCGGCCAGTGGGGCCCAGCCCACGCTGGTGGGGATGGGGATCGGTTAAATTCAGGAGAGGAAAAAACACACAGACACGATTAATCCTCGATTCCTTTGAAAATATAGGAAAAATGAGAAGTGGGGGGGAAGACAGAAACCCAGAAAATATGGGAACATAGGGGGAATCCATTTATTTGTGTGTATTCATTTGTGTGTCCTGGGGCCCCTTCATAAACGATGCTCAGCAGCACCTCCCCCGATCCTACGCGCCAGATCCGCGGCCCCGCGATCGCAGTCCATGTCCGCATGCGCACGGCTCATGGCGCAAATCGGCATTGCTCGGACGCCCTCCGCCGGCCCGCTCAGGGCCACGGGGCCCGCAGACGGGGGTCTGCGGGGGGAGGCTCCCTCCGAAGGGCGGCGTCGACGGCCCTTGGGACCTCCGAGGGCGGAACGCGTGCAAGGGTGAACGGCTTCCTCGGTGCAGAAGCCAGGGCCTGCGTAGTCGATGCAGCAGGTTGCCTTACCCGCAGGCCCGATCCGGCCCGACCGCCACACGTGGCTCCAGACGCCCTCGGCTAGGAGTCAACGATTGTGTCGTCGATCGCGGGCCAAGCGTGCGCAGTGTTGCCGATGAGCGTATACTGGTAGCGATGCCGTTGCCCACAGCCTCGCCCGGCGCATGCTCGTGTGTTCGTGGCTCGTGGCTGGTGGTTCGTGGTCCCTCCCCTGGCCTTCCTGGGGGGTCCTCCTCTCAGGAGGGAAAACAACACACAGACACAATTAATCGTCGATCCCCCAGAAAATATGGGAAAATATGGGAAGTGTTGGGGAAGACCAAAGCCCAGAGAATTTTGGAAAATATGGGGCATATTTCGATTTGTGTGTATTTATTTGTGTGTCCTGGGGCCCCTTCATCCTCCACGGCCGTAGCCCTGTCCCTGGCGGAGCCCACTACCTCCGTGGTCCGTGGTTCGCTGTCCGCCCCGTCTCCCTCTTGCCCCTCCCCTGGCCGCCCGCCCTCGCCCCGGCGCCTCCCCCTGGTGGCCCCCGCCCCCCCCTGGCCGTCGCCCCGTCCCTGGCCGGACCCGGCGTTCTCGTGGCTCGTGATTCGTCGTCCGCTTTCCCCCCCCCTTGTCTTATGTTGATCCCATCGTGCCTCCAGGACCACATCCCAGAAATGATGTCGAGCACCCAGAGAGGTGTCGAACCGGTGTCGAAACAGTGTCGGCCGAGTGTGTCCCAGGGCCCGACACGTGAAAATCTGTTAGTTTCCATGCTTTCTGGTGCTCAAAATTCTTTCTGGTGAACAAAGCTAAAGTAGGCTGGAACATCATAACCCTTGTCCACTCCGTGCCTCCCTGGCGGGTGCAGTGGAAACCTATGCCAAGGAGCACCTTGCTTGCCTCCAGGGTGCGTCCTGGGTTCCGACGGCCTTGCTATGGATTGCGTGACGTTCCCACGCCAAACGTCAGTGGACGTCCTGGGGTGCCAGGGTTGGGCTTCTTGTGGAAGGTTTCTTGTGGAAGGTTTCTTGTGTAGCGCGGAGCCCCCTTCACTTCTCTGCTTTCTGACTCGCCGTCTGCCCCCCGTCGCCCTTCCCGCCCCTGTCCCTGGCGGAGCCCTTTCTTGGTCGCCCCCCGGCAGGTCCTCCCGCCCCTCGCCGCTTCCTCTTTCGGCGGCGAGCGAGGGGGGGGGCAGGAGAGGGAGAAGGCCTTCTCAGAAGGCGGCGGGACTTCTCAGAGGCCCTCGCGCCTTTGAGAAGTCTTCTGCGTCTTCGAGGAAGGCTTAGAAAGCTTCTCAGAAGGCCGGGGGGCCTTCCGAGCCTTCTGGGAAGGCCCGCCACGTCTCATTTCCCCCCCGCGCTTGCCGCTCTCTCCTGGAAAAGCCACGGCACGCTTGCAAGTTGTTCGCTTGTCTTCCATCAAGTAGGTGGTGGGGGGGGGGGGGGGGGCTACGACTTTCGTGGCGTCCTATCGTGCCGTGTGTTAGGCTCATGAGTAGACTGTGGCCTCCACGGGACAGCCCAAAGGCACACTGTGGAGGCAACAGGTTACGGCGACACGGGGTCGTGCAAGTCAAATTCGAAGTGCCGCAGACTTCGGCCTTAGGCGAAGGTCTGCATGGGGGACCTTTTCGGGCCTCACAAGTTCTAATAGGGCTGCTGGGCATCGGGCCCGTGGCGGGCGGCGCAGAAACACAGAATAGGATTATCGATTCGCGGGCTCCCGCCATCGCCAGGGAGGGCGCGGCAGCAAGTACACCCACGCATCGGTGCTTGCACGGGAGGGAGTCCTCGCGGAAGTTTACGGGGCGACGGTGGTGGGCGCTCCGGGTCACTGCGTCTCCCAGGATGCAAGGGTTGCAAGGGCTTGGCGAAGAGACAGGTCGAATGCGGTAGGCGCCCAGGAGGGATCAGAAAGATGTGGTATCTTTTTATAGTGTAAGCAGAGATGGTAGAACATAGATGGCAGTGAGCAGCGAGTAGAGAGCAGAGCGCATAATGCAGATACGATACAGCGTCCAGGGTGGAGAGTGGAACTCGAATGAAGAGGGGAGGGTAGAGAACCGAGGGAAACGTAGGCGAACACAATGATGCAGAGAATGACTTAGACAGTTGATTGCACACAGAGAGTACAGAGTATAACGTTGAGAACACGGATACGGGTAGACTGCTGGAAGTGGTCTTCTTCGGTGCGAGTTGGTTTCGAATGGTTATGCTAGCAGTAGCCCGGCGGAACCGGCTTGCTCCCCAGAGTTGATCCTCATCCTTTTTGTTTTCTCTGGCCGTTGCGATGACGTGCGTCATAGTGCCCAGCCCACCGTGTTCCGAATATAGCGCCCCAGGATTGAGGGAGGCAGATGGTGGACATGAAGACACAAGACAGGTTGATACGTTAAGGGGCGATTGCCTATAGCTCTCGATTGGAGTGATGCGATGCTTGCCTCATAGGCGGATTGCGCTTGAATGCGTCAGCTGCCAGCGGTGGAGCGCACCAGACGATCATAACATTGTGTGGATGGCGGGCAACCGGGCCTACAGCTTCACGAAACAAAACACAGATGCCGGACGACAGACAGGGGACATCGGGCAAATCTACATTGTTCGTGAGTCTGCGGTACACAGGCGGATGATGTCGAGAAGGATGATTTGGATGAGGTTGAACATGGGCCCCAGCATCAAAATGACACGGGAATCGACGAAGAGACATGCAAGGGTAGGAGGAACAGGCTGCAGGTCTAAGCCGAGGCTGAAACCGTCACTCAAGCGTGTCCAGTCTGATCCGACATGGTCGCGTGTCGAAGCCGGGGTCCCGCATCGGCAGTCCCCCGAAGCCTGCAGCACCCCCCTCACGCACCGCAGCGCCCATCCTGGGAGTGCAGAGCTCTTATCCAAAGCTTCCCAGGGTGCGCGTAGCCTGCGGCAGTTCGTCCAGCGCAACCATCGGCCGAGCAGGTGAGATCACAACGGACGCGATGACGGGAGAGCGCGGACACCATCGATCATCAGCCCCAGACATCCAGCATTGCGGAGCGTGGCAACACTGCAAGAACGGCACGACCAGAGCCCCAGACCCCATCATTGTGTTGCACCTCTGGCCGGCGAGCGAGGGGGGGAAGTGAGAAGGGGCGGGGGGCGGGCCTTCTCACAAGGCTCGGAAGTCCCCCAGGCCTTGTCAGTCTGAGGAAGATTGAAGACAAGGTGTCTCAGAAGGCGCGAGGGCTTCTGAGAAGTCCCGCCGCTTTCTGAGAAGGCCTCCTCCTTCTCAAGTCCCGCCCCGCTCGGCGCCGAGGTTTGCGATAGTCTTGATCGATTTATTTCGGGCCTGCGGGTCACAGCCCATGACTCAGACCATGGGGGAACAAGCGTCTGTTGGCCGCTCCTGGCCGCCTTCGCGCCAGGCCACGACGCAGCGCAGAGAGGAGGAGGAGGAGGAGGAGGAAAAGGAGAAGGAGGAGGAGGAGGTGGAGGGAAAGGATGAGGACAAGGAGGAGATGGGGAGGAGGAGGGGGAGAGGAAGAGCGGGAGGAAGAGGGGGAGGGAGGGGGGGCCGAGGTGGAGGAGGAGGGGGAAGAGGAGGACGGGGAAGGGGAGAGGAAGGAGGAGAAGGAGGAGGAGGAGGAGGAGGAGGAGGAGGAGAAAGGAGGAGGCGGAGGAGGAAGAGGTGGAGGAAGGGGAGGGGGAGGGAGAGGGGTGGGGGATGGGGCGAAGGGGGAGAGGCCCAGCGAGGAGGGTCCGAAGCCGCAGCGAAATCGATATGGCTTGGTCCTGCGACCCGGAGACGGGCGAAAACGCTCCCTGAGAACCAAACACCCAGGGGGGACGGACTTTTGGTAGGTTGACCTCTCAGTCTCTCCGCCGCCTCAGGCGGCGTGCGCTGCGAGCAGGAGCGCAGCAGAGCCACAGGAATAAGCGCGGCATTGACGGTGCAGCTCCCCACCCGTGACACACGTCGACGAGCAGGAGCACCGCAGAGCCCCAGGAAGGCGAGGCATGACCCCCCTCGGCGGCCCAGGCGCGGAGGCGGACGCCGCGGCCAGCCAGGAGGAGCTCCAGGCGGCGAGGGGCCTGTGCCAGGACCTGCGGGAGCAGGCCCCCCCTCGGATGGAGGAGAAGCGACACCAACACCAACAGGGGGGGCCACCTCCAGCCAGGAGGTCCGCGATGCCTCCCAGAGCTGGAGGCTGGGGATGTCTCGAGCGAGAGGGGGGGGACCACAACACCAGGGAGACCCCCCCCTTGCCTCCCCGCATCTCCTCGCCCTGGTGGTGTTGGCGTCGCCTTTCGGTGTTCCTACCCCCGCCGCGGCCGCCGTCCCAGGCAGCCGGCCGCTCCAAGATTGTCGACGCGCGGGCCCCGGAGTTAGAAGTCGGGCGTGTGCCTCTACAGGGGGACAAGACAGAAATGGTGGAAAAATAGTCTGGGGATGACTTGTTGTAGTGTGTTTTGCCATGTTTGGTGTACTTTTTGACCATGCTTAAGTTGTCGTCCAAAAGCGGCCTGTAGGGGGACGTGCCCGACGTAACCCCAGAGGTCTGAACCACTTCTCCAGCTGGGGGGCGCGCCATGGGGGGCGAGAGCGCCCCCTCCCACCCCTCCGCGCCCAACACTGGGCCGGTCGTTGGTCCTGGGTCGCTTTTTGACGGTCCCGCGGCCTGGCGGAGGGCCCCCAGAGGCCGACCACGGAAAAAACCAGCCGCCGGCCCCAGCTAATGTGTGAGGGGTGCGCCAAGATGGCGATGGAACTGCATGCGGGCGCTGCCACTTGGGCCTTCTGTGGAGCTCCCTACGGGGCCACGGAACGTGTGAGGGGTGCGCCAAAATGAAGGTTGAGCTGCATGCGGGCGCTGCCGCTGTGGCCTTCAGTGGAGCTCCCTGTGGGCCAGCGAAACGTGTGAGGGGTGCGCCAAGATGGCGATGGAACTGCATGAGAGCGCTGCCTTGGGGCCTTCAGTGGAGCTCCCTATGGGGCCACGAAACGTGTGAGGGGTGCACCAAGATGGCGATGGAACTGTATGCGGGCGCTGCCGCTGGGGCCTTCGAAGGAGCTCCCTATGGGGCCACGGAACGTGTGAGTGGTGCGCCAAAATGGAGGTGGAATTGCATGCGGGCGCTGCCACTGGGGCCTTCGAGTGGGCTCCCTATGGGGCCACGGAACGTGTGAGTGGTGCGCCAAAATGGAGGTGGAATTGCATGCGGGCGCTGCCACTGGGGCCTTCGACGGGGCTCCCTATGGGGCCACGGAACGTGTGAGTGGTGCGCCAAAATGGAGGTGGAATTGCATGCGGGCGCTGCCACTGGGGCCTTCGACGGGGCTCCCTATGGGGCCACGGAACGTGTGAGTGGTGCGCCAAAATGGAGGTGGAATTGCATGCGGGCGCTGCCACTGGGGCCTTCGGTGGAGTTCCCTATGGGGCCGCGAAACGTGTGAGGGGTGCGCCAAGATGGGGGTGGAACTGCATGTTGGCGCTGCCACTGGGGCCTTCGGTGGAGCTCCCTGCGGGGCCGCGAAATTTGTGACGGGTGCACCGACATGGTGGACATGCGGAGGGCAGAGGCAGGGATGGGATGAGGGAGGAGGGGGAGGAAGGAGGGGGAGGAGGAGGAGGAGGAGGAGGAGGAGGAGGAGGAGGAGGAGGAGGATCAGGAGGCGGGATGGAGGGACGCGGGGCGCTGTCTCTTCAAAACGAGGACCCAACACCACAGGATGGTTGGGAAAAAAGTGTTCGTGTCTGTGCGTGTGTGTGTGTGTGTGTGTTGTGTGTGTTGTGTGTTGTGTATGTGGCTCCTTGTTGGGGGTCTCTTCGTCTAGTCGTGCACGTGTTCGGTGCCCCATCCCCCCCCACAGCCTTGGCCCACTGGCCTCGGCGGCCTCCGCCGTCTCCGCCTGCGTTGGGGATGGCCGTTGCGTCGCTGCCCCACCCCTTCGATTCTCTGGGACTAACCTGACCGAGGTCGACCCGCAGCCCTGGAGGTGCCTTGCCTTGGCCGCCGCCCCGGGTCGCCTCGCAGGTCACGCGTGACCTCAGCTCCCCTTGGCGCCATGGCTCTCTGTACATACACAAGCTCGTTGTTTCTCCCTCGCGGCCCCGGATCATTTCGGGACTGCCGTTGGCCCTCCAGCCACGCCCCCACCCCGCCTTGGCGCCTTGGCTGGTCCTGCCGCCTGCGCCCCGCCACGCCCACCTCTTTGCCTTGCCTGGTTTTCAGGCCGACCCCTCCCTCACCTTGAGGCGGTCTCCTACTGGTCGCCGCCGGCCCAGGTGCTCACCTGAGGTTCGCGCGACCTCGGCACCCGTTGGCCTTGGCGCTGCGTGCACACCTTGCCTCCAGTTTTTGCCGGGCACTGCCCCCCAGCTCAGCCTGCTGCCTGGCAGCCCGCCATGCTGGCTTCCCCCCTCCCAGCTGCCGCCCCGCTGCTGCTGGCCCCCACCCCGGGCGCCGCCCTGCCGCGCGGCTGACCTTGCTCTGAGCGGGCCCCGCCTCCGTCTCCCTTCCGCCACCGCCGGGCGTCCTCCTCCTTCCCCCCCGTGCATCGCGGCCTAATTCGCGTTCGTTTATCTTTCGGCGCCCTATCTGCCAGCGCAGTCCTTCTGCCTAGCCGCCGATGCAAGAAGTGCGCGTGTGTCTGTATGTGTGTTCGTGTGTATGTGTGTCCGCATCCTTTTGTTAAGTCGTTGGCTTGAGCTTTAGTGCTGATGGTGCATCTTCGTTCGCCTGGCGGGCTTCCTGGCAGCAGGACCCCACAGCTCTGTGTGTGCTACCTGCTATCCAGGGCGCGCTGGGCAGTCGGCTGGAGGACCTCACGGACCTGCGAACCGCGTGTTCGGCCTTGAGCTGGACGAAGACGATCGCGCCAAGTGGCAGGTAACAAAAAACCGCGGCCCGTTAGCTGGTTCCGAGCACAGGCTGGGTGACTGGAAGGCTCTGTGCAGGCGCATGTTCTGCGTGGGCCTGGGGGAGCACGAGCTCGGCAGCCTGTTCGAGAACTCGGGCGGCACCAAGCTCCTGGAAGCTGAAGACGGCGGCGCGCGCTGACCAGCTTCGAGCACAGGCTGGAGTGCTTGTACGAGGACGATTGCGATGAGAAAAGCGACAGCCTGTCTGTCTGTTTGTCTGTATGTCTGGAGGTCGGTAGGTCTGTAGGTCTGTAGACATGCCTGTGTCCGTAGTCTGCCTATCTGTCGTCTGTCTCCCCGTCGCCTCATCCGGTCGTGACTGCCAAGAACCGTCGTCGCCAGGGAGGCATCCTGCGGGCTCGCCCGCCTGGACGTCGCAGAAGCAGGATGCGCCAGGAGTGCACACCTTGCTTTTCGTTTTCTCGTCGCAGATCTGCCGGCGCCTGTCGTCGCCACGCCTGCCCGCGCTCCTCGTCGCCCATTGAGGGCCACTGGCCGTGCTGCCACACTCGAGGCCCGTGCCCTTGTTAGCAAATGCCATTCGCCAGTGGTTCCCTGGCCTGGCTGCCAAACCCCAGGCCTGTGCCATTACTGGCCAGCGCCTTCTTCGTCGCAGGTCCGCCGGCACCCCTCCTCGCCACTTCTGCTTTCTCTCCTCGCCGCCACTGTGGGATCGCTGGCCTTGCTGCCACACCCAAGGTGTGTGCCCTTGCTGGCCAGTGCCCCAAACCGGTCGGTCCCTGGCAAGCCTGCCCAAGCCCTGGCCTGTACCCTTGCTGGCCAGCGCCTTCTCGTCGCAGGTCTGCCGGCGCTCCTCGTCGCCAACATGCGGGTGCTACCTCGTCGTCTCTCAAATGGCGCCGCTTCCCTGTCGCCATGTACTGGGGTAAGGTGCGGGTGAGGCAACATCGGCTGGGGCAATCCTGGTGATTCTTATGTTCGCCCAGGGCAAGGCAACCTGTCCTGGGCAATGGGCAAGGCTGATCCAGGTTCGGTTCGACCAGCATGAGGGGAAATACAACATTACCCGAGCAGGCATGAACGATTGTGGCCGCGATAGATGAAGATCCCATGAAGATCCCAGCAAGCACAAAGCAGACAGGAGGGAGCAACAGGTTGCTTGCCACTGAAAAGGCAGAGGGTCAAAAGCATACCGCGTCGAGGACGAAGGAGGGTTGAAGAGGAAGTGGGAATGTTACAAGAAGGAGTCTGCAAGCACGTGCGTGCGAACACCAAATGTGTAGAATGGTGTTTGCGTAAGGCGCATCCAGAGATTCTGTAAGTGCGCGAGCTGTGTGAGAACGTGGCTTCCAACCTGTATCTCGGGCCCCAGCTGACAGAATGCCTTCCCTGGGAGGAGGGGAGCACTGAGGAGCTCAATCTGAGTTCTTGGTTGCTCAGGATTGGCGGTGCTAATCCGACCATCTTGTCCAGCACATCACGAGGAAAGAAAGCGGCCCTGCGAGGAGCGCGGCGAATGCAGTTGGAGCTGTGCACTGGCAGCCTCTGCGCTGCCATCCCGGGGCAGCTGCGAGGGCCGATTTCGGCCGAGGGGGGAGGTGGTGGCCGCGAGCCGCACCTTCTGTGGGCACGGAGGGCACCGGGCCCCCCGAGCAGATGCGGAGCCCGGAGGGGAAGAGTCGACGAGGGGGGAGAGGTCAGGGGAGCAAAAAGTGGCATGAACATAAAAACTCGGAGGTCCGCGCGGATTTCTCGGATCGGCGCTGGACCCCCCTGGCGGCGCCTCCTGCGCCGCTCCTGGCGCGCTCCGCGCGCCAGGGAGGGGGTCCAGCGCCGATCCGAGAAATCCGCGCGGACCTCCGAGTTTTTATGTTTATGCCACTTTTTGTTCCCCTACGAGGGGGGAGAGGTGAGCTCGCCCTTGGGCGTGGAGAAGCCCGTTCCCCTGAGGCCTCCGTCCGCGGTAGGCTCGAGAGGGGCGCGATGGCCCGCAGCCCGGATGCATCTTCATGCCCCACGCCTCCTCCACCATCACTTCCGCGAAGCCCTTGGCCTCGCCCGCGGTTGGACTACGAGGTGATCCTGGCGGAGCGCCTGGACCGGCGCTGTGGGCCAAGCCTGGTGGCCGTGCAGCCTCGATGCTGCAGGGCGGCGCAGGACTTCAGAGAACGAAGGACTTGCACACCTCGGACGGGGCCAGGACGAGGACAAATCCGCTCCGATCTGGCACGCTCTCAGAGCGCGCCGGAACGCTCCGAGAAGGCCGCGGCGCCCGCGACGTCTTCCAGAGACGCCGGATCCTCTCGATCGATGCCGACCCGAGGTAGTCCTCGTCCTGGCGTCGTCCTAACCGCTCGCGCTTGGGCACTCGCGGCCTGCTCTTGCCGTGGAGCAGCGGGTCGGCGGTGCCAGCTGCAGCCCGCCGGGGCGGGTGCAACGCACCTGCGGGGTGGGTGACCGGGGAGGGGAGGGGAGGGGCGTGGGCGGCGGTGTCGTGGCCACCGCCGCTCATGTTGGGCGGTTGGCCACGCCGCCCACAGCCCACGTGCGCTGACTGTGCCGCCCAGAGCGCCTCGTGCACTGGCACGGTGGCGTGGGGAGTGGTGGCGTGGGGAAGGGAAGGAGGGAGAAGTTCGCTGCGGGGGGGGCGCCTGGTTCGGGCTCGCAGCCTTCGCAGTTTGGCGGCCCGAGCCCAGGCTGAGGTGAGGAGGAGGGAGGAGGGCGGAATGGAGCAGGAGAAGGAGGCAGAGGGGATGAGAAGGAGGAGGTAGAAGGAGGAAGTAGAAATTCGAGGGAGGAGGATGAGGAGGGTGAGGAGGGAGGAGCAGGAGAAGGAGGAGGAGGAGGAGGAGGAGGAGGAATGGGAGAGGAGGGGGGAGGGGGGAATGAGGTGGATGAGTCGGATGCCGACGAAGGGGGGAGAGGCTGGACGAGGGTCGCCCCGCAAGGTCTCGCGGCAAGAGGCCGACTGCAGGGCGGCAGCCCTGGAGAGGAGGCAGGCGGAGGCGAGGTGCAGGCAGCTGTGCAGCGAGGTGTCTCAGAAGGACGCCTCCACCACGCTCCCGCTCCGTGCTCTTGGCATCGCTCGGGCGTGTGCATTTTCTTTCCGCCAGAGCCATCGAGGAGTATTGCTGTCCACCTTGCGCGGAAAAAACACGCGCACGACACCAGAAAATGTACAGGCAGTCAGTGGACGTCCGAGCGATGGCGAGTTCTTGGGCAAGCCGTTGGATCCACACACCCGTGTTGTTTGTGACCGCCTGAGAACAGGCGGAGCAAGGCAGCCTCGAGCACGCTGCAGAGGCTGCAGTTAGCTTGCGCGCTCGAGCGGGAAGCCATGGGATGGTGGATGGCGCCAGAAGCGAGAGAACCTCCCAAGTGATGCCTCCAGCATGCCCCTACTCGTCCTGTGCAGTCGACACTGATACTAGTAGTAACGATGATCGACTTCCCAATGGGACCCTTGTATCCTTGCCTCTTCAGTCATCTTCGGTCCATCCTCAATCATTTTCGGTGGCCAGCCCCGCTCGAGAAGCTTCGACATGGGCATCAAACGCCCGTGCATCCTCATCTCGCATCCTTACTAACCCCATGCCCACGATAATAATGTACCCCCCCCCTTAAGTCGTTAGAGTTTTTTATCGTCGACCAATAAGAGTTTGGTCGGGGGCGCGGGGAAGCGGAGGCCGAACTTCACTATCACTGGGAAAGTTCGCCATCGAGGTTACTTCCTTCTTGTGTTGGGATAACAACATCAAGCGAAGCGAACACGTGTGCTCTTTCTCTCTCTCGTTCTTTGTGTTGCTTTCTGTTTCTCTCTCTCTCTCTGTCTCTGTCTCTGTCTTTCTTTCTCCTCCTCCCTCTGGCGCTCTGAACTTGTTTATCGCTGGGGTTGATTATCCGGGGAAAACTAAGCACATGAGCTACCCTACACGAGCAGATGAAAATGCGAATTTTCATTAAGCGCTTACAAATTAAATGCAATACGTTTTCAACTTTGGATTTTTGCTTCTACCTCCTGCTCTGCTTCTCCTGCTCTTCCTACTTCCCATCATCATCCTCTTCCCTTTCTTCTTTATTTATATTTCTCTTTCTATTTCTTTGTCTTCTTGTCTCCCTGGCCCCCTGAACTTGTTCATCGCTGGGGTTGATGATCCTGGGAAAACTAAGCGCATGAGCTACCCCTACACGAGCAGATGAACATTTTAATTTTCAGTAAGCGTTTACAAATTACATATGCTAAGTTTTGAACTTTGGATATTTGCTTCCTCGTTCTTCTCCCCTCCTCTTGCTCTTTCTCCTCCTTCTCATCCTCTTCCTCCTCTTCCTCCTCTACCTCCTCTTCCTCTTCTTCTCTTTTTGATGAGGAGGATGTCTCAAGCGAAACAAGCAATTCGTTGAGGATGTCTCAACCGAGACAAATCATTGTTGAGGATGTCTCATAGAGGACCAAAGACCAAGGATCCTCAAGATATCTTTGGCTTTTTCCTCTTGATATCTCTTTATGCTGGCTCTGGCGGGCAACTTTTATTATCCCCCCGAAAACCCCGAACTTTATTATCCCTTAGGGTTTATTATCGGGGGCATGGGGTTATCAGTTTGAACTGTACTCCTCCTGTGCCGCCCTAGGCTCGTCTCCCTCTTCCCGTCCTCGCTCCTTGATTCTTGATTCGTGCCTTGATGTTGTATTAGCATAGACTCCCACTCTACCGCCTTGCTGGCTCATAGGGGTCAAGTTGGTGTGGTACCACCCTGCCAACCGAGCGATATGTCGCTTCGGGTGATCCCCATCGAGGATCTACGACGAATGGATCCGAAGTCATGCCACCCTGCAGTGTTACAAGTTGCATAATCTATCATGTATGGTTATTGTGCGTATTATGATTGCTTGGTGTACGCGCTTGTTGTGCCATGTGCGTGTTGTGCAAATTGGTTGGATGTGTGATGCACGTCTGTTAATCCAGTATTCGCATGAGTCATCTTCTTACGCTCGCGTGTTGTTTACGGGTGTCGCTCGTGTGGCGCGTAAATGCACTAAACATCCATAGTAATGACATGTTTGGTAGTAAGAGACGGCTCCTGTGAAGGTATGTTAGTCTATGCTACGAGCGCCTCTGCATGTGCACGTTCGTGGTGTCCGTCCTTGAAGGACGACATTGGTGGATGGACCTGCTGTCTGAACAGGGTATGCCCGAGCTTTGTGGGCCCAGGATACGGCAGGGCAGTTTTTTTTTGTTTCCGAAAAAATGCCCCTTGAACATGGAAACGGCAAAAAAAAACGGCGACTGGAAACGGCAACAAAAACGGCTCCAGGATTGGAACCAGAGCCGGAACCGGTCAAACAACGGCGACGGAACCGGTAAAAAAAATTGCGTCGGAACCGGCAAAAAAACGGCAGAACGGAACCGGTAAAAAAACGGCCCTGTCGTTTCCAGGGCCCACTAAGTGCCCGAGAGCCCGCGGTGGGAGGGCAAGCGCTTGGGCGCCGGCCGAACCCCTGGCCGATGCACACTGACTCCTCTTGTGGTTCCGCGGGCGGCGTTCGGGGGAGAGCGCGCCGGTTCCAGCCAGACCAGGCCTTCGTGCTCCCCGCTGCTTGTGCTCGCGAGCCGTGCCGACGTCGCGCGCTCCTGCCCACACGCACCTGTGCTCAGCGGCCGAAGCTCAGGCCCGAGGCGGCTGCTCCTCCAGCGCGCCACCTCCGAGCCGAAGGGGGTGCGAGGGAGGGGGCGCACGAGGCAGCTCGCCTCGAGGAGCAGGGGCTCCCGTCCCAGACCCCGAGGCTTTCCCCGGGACCATCTCTGCACACCGATGCGTTTCTTGACGGCCCCTGGTCCCGTGGAGGGTCCCAGGTGCTTGACATGGGCGACAAGATTCCGCCCCCCCCCCCACCCCCCGTTTCCTGCGGGTTTCCTCCGGGACCCGATAGTGGAGAAGGAACGCACGACGTTCCTTCGACGGAGGCTGGTGGGCGTGGCCTGCTGAGCCAAGCCCGGTTGGCGCCTTGCGCTCGGCAGGAGATGCAGGCGACCGTGGCGAGGCAGGACGTGCATCGGGAGCAGTCCCGATGCCAGGCGACCGCCCCTCTGCCTCGAAAGCAGCCACGGGAGGACGAGGAGGAGGAGGAGGAGGAGGAGGAGGCGGGAGGGAAGCCACCCCAGGAGGAGGGAGATAGGGAGGGAGGGAGGGAGATGAGGAGGGAGGGAGGGAGATAGGGAGGGAGATCGGGAGGGAGGGATGATGATGATGAGGAGGAGGAGGAGGAGGAGGAGGCGGACGCGGAGGCCGCCAGAGGCCGTGCAAGGAAGGGGCCATAGACCGTGCCCCATACGGACGCCTCTGCCTGTCGCCTGGTTGGGCCTTGGACTAGGGAGGCAGACGAAGCTGGCTTGAGCCACAGGTCCCCCCCCCTCCACTCTCCCTCCTTCATGGGCCTGTTTCCCACCACCACTACCATAGGTAGGAGAGGGAGGAGGAGGAGGAGGAGGAAGAGGAGGAGAGGAAGGAGGTCCTCCTCATCCTCCCTTCCCCCTAGTCCTACATCTGGGAGTGATGGTGGGAGATGTGCCCATCACTTCATCGCTTCGAGGGAAGCTTTGGCGGCGCGCAGAGGGGGGTAGGGGGAGAGAAGATGGCTTCTCAGAAGCACCCCTGCTTCTTAGAAGGCGCGGGCCTTCTGTGTAGATGTAAAGCCGGGCCCTTTTAAGACTTAGCCTCCTTCGAAGAAGCCTTCACCCTCCCCCTGTCCCCTTCTGCGCGCCGCCACAAGCTGGGCCGAGGCGCCTCCAGAGGAGTGACGCCTGAAGCTCCTGCACCGTCCCACACCTGCCCCCTTTTCCGGTGCACGCCTTCCCTCCGCAGACGGCCGCGATCCGATCCACACGGGAGCGCCCGCACGAGGAGGAGGGAGGATGACAGGAGAAGCTGGACGAGGAGGGGGGCCACCTCGGGGGGGCGAGGAGGGCACGCGGCTCGTGCGCTGTCCGCGCCGGCCCCCCCCGGGGGCGCGACGGTCCAAGAGGGCCCCCGTGGGGCCCGCCCCTGCCGCTGGAGCGAGCGGCCCTGGGCGGGTGGGGGGGCGGGCTCGCCCGGTGGCCTGGTGGCCCGGACCGCGGTCGCCTCTGCCAGCTCGGATCGGGGCCTCTGGCCCGAGGGGCGAACGCATTGTCGGGAAACTGTCTGGGGAACTATGGGAAGTTGGGGGGGAGGACAAAAACCCAGCAGGAAATGTGAGAACACATGTTGAATCCTTTTCTTTGTGTCTATCCATTTGTGTGTCCCAGTGCCCCTTCAGAGGTCCCCGAAGATCGATACTCGGGAGCGGAAACAAAAGCACACAGACGCACAATGAATCGTTGATCCCAGGAAAAGATGGGAAGTTGGGGGGGAAGACGAAAGTCCTCGGAGGGGGATAGACCTCCTACCCTGACACGTCGATCGGCGAATTGGCCGTTTTCGGGTCGCGAGGGGGTGTCGCGGCCGTCATGTTTGCGGGTCCAGGTTCGCCGGTTTCGGTCCCAGGCCGTTTTCACTGAGGGGAGGTTTGGTAAAGGGAGGTTTGTCCACCGCCCGCATTGCGGTGTCGATGGGGCCGCTGGAGATCATCTTCGCAAATTGGAACATCTAGATTACCAGTGGCGGACGGTTTTTCAATCCCAGAACTTGTTTGAGGGTCGGGGACGACGTGTCGGGGTGGGGTGGTGTATACCTTTTTCTTCGTTTTCAAAGGGAAACAGCGAGAAACGTATACACCAGGATCCCGTAGTCAACAGGATCCGCTCTCCAGTGGCAGTGCTGGAAGAAGCGTTGGTGTGCAGAGTTCGATTCCTTACGAGGGGCAGACGTATTGCGGTGTCGATGGGGCCGCTGGAGATCATCCGGGCGGAGCCTGGGCGAAGTTGCCTCCTCGACGCTCCGCGCATGCCCGGCGGCCTGCCGAGGGACGGTCTTCGGGGGGCGCGTGAGAGGGGTGCGATGCGCGGGGGGGGCCGGCGAGGGCTGCAGAGAAGGGGGCCGTCCAGGGGGCCCTTCAGGGCCCAGGAGGGGGCCTCTGGGGGCCGAGAAGGGCACCTCTCTCTCTCCCCCCCCCCAGAGATCCAACGCATTAACAAAAAAAAGACTAAGGTTTTTCTCAATTTTCATTCTCTAGGGGCCCTCGCCGGGCCCCGGGACCGTCAAGAAACGACTCAGGATGAAAAACCGGTCCTGGGGAATGGGTCGAGACTTCGGGGGACCGCGCATTGACAAAAACACGACATCGGATCTCTGGGCCCATGCACCGCACCCCCATCAATTCGCGCTCAAGGTTTTCTTGGGCGAGGCGTCGTGAGAAGGGAAGCGTATGACCAGCATGTTGTTCAATACAGTCTCGGGTCGGGCGAAAGGGGGGGATTGGGAAAGGGGGGGTTACGAAATTTGCTGCATGCAGCTGGTTTCGGCCCCACCGAGGGGCCCATTCCTCGACACAGCCGCCTCCGGCGCTGGGAGGCGCCGGGAAAATCAGCTACGTTAGCTGATTCTCACCCCCCCCTTTGCTATCCCCCCCTTTCGCCCGACCCGACAGTCGGGGCGCTGAAGAAGGAACCCTTTTCGCTGGGGAGGGGCTCGGTGTTCCTTGATTGTTTCACAGCTTGCCTCAGGTTTCCCTTGAAATTTTCGATGGGAAATCGAAGTTTAACTTGTGGGAAAAGGGGGCCTCGTTCCTTATTTAGGGTTCCTTCGGTCAACGCCCCGACTGTAGGGAGGTGAGGCGCGCGTCAAACCAACGGAGGGCCCCCGCTAGCCCCCTCTTCTTGGCCTCGCTCGGTCGTGTGCACTTTGTCCTCGGCGAGGACCGTCGAGGAGGACCCTGAAGCACCTGGCGACAACTATCGCAGGCCTAGAGATTGACACCAACACCAAGATCGGCGGTGTGCCTCCATCGAGGGAAGACGATCCCGATCTCGGTGGTGGTAATATTCTGGCTTCCAAGGTGGCCGAATTATTACCACCGAGACCGAAATCTAGGATCGTCTTCCCCCTGTGGAGGCAACCCCCTGTGTTGGTGTTGGTGCCCATTTCCAGGCCTCCAACATCTGGCGACAAATACACGCGAAGTCGAAACAATGCGCGGGGAATGGGCGTCAGAGCGATGGCAAGCCTTGCCATGACGCGGAGACTGCACGGTCGGGGGTCTCCATTAGCCGAAGCCTTAGTGGGCCCTGGAAACGACAGGGCCGTTTTTTACCGGTTCCGTTCTGCCGTTTTTTTGCCGGTTCCGACGCCGTTTTTTTTACCGGTTCCGTCGCCGTTTTTTGACCGGTTCCGGCTCCGGTTCCAATCCTGGAGCCGTTTTTTTGCCGTTTCCGGTCGCTGTTTTTTTGCCGTTCCCATTTTCAATTGACATTTTTCGGAAACGGTGAAAAAACGGCCCTGCCGTTTCCGGGGCCCACAAAGGCCGAAGCCACAAGAGTACGAACACCAATCGACATCCTTAGGTTTGCAAATTGCTCTTGGGCGCACTCTGAAAGTATACTGCCCCTCCCCCCGGAGAAGCCTGAGGAGGCTCTGGGGAAGTCGGGCAGGCCTAGAATCCGTTCCAGAGCGTTCCGGAACTCTCTCAGAGCGTTCTGGAACGCTCTGAAACGGCCGCGGCGCCTGATACAGCCTCCAAGCTCGCCGATTCGCATAGATTTAATTGCTGCGCTCACTCCGCCAGCCCACCTTGTTTGGCGGCTCTCGGTTCCCTGTTTGCTCGTTGTCAAGGTGGTGTTGTTGAGCGACGGTTGTTCTTTCGCGCGGTCCGTGGAGAGCGTTCGAGCTGAAGCAGTTGCTGTTGAGCTGCCTCTGGGATGGCTGTTGCGAGCCTCTGCGGTGCATGAGGCATGTAGGTGTTTAGCTTTGGCCGGTGTGGGGACTGTCCTCTGTGGTTGTTAGGTTTGGGGCCAGTCTGAAGATTTGAGTCTTTTGGTGCAAGCTGTGTATCCTGCTTTCGGGCGGGAGGCATCTCGGGGGCCTCTTGGCAGTATTCTTGTTGAAACCGCCTTGGGCCTTTGGGGGGGCCTCTTGGGTCCCCTTCGGGGTTTCTTGGGGGCTTCTTGGGGCCTCCTGGAGGCCTCTTCGGGCAAATAGCTTGAACTTGCCGCTCGGGTCCCCCGTCTGAGCCTTCTCTGGGAGCCGAATGGGGGACCCCTTGGGCCGTCTTCGAGGCCTCTTGGGCAGGCTTGAGGCTCTTTGGGATCGTATTAGGGCTTTTTGGAGGCCCTCTTGGAGATTCTTGGGCCGTTTTGGAGCGGTCTTGGGGGCCTCTTGGGCCGCGTTGGAGCGCGGGGAAGCTGAAAAGGCACACGAAAATCCTTCGAACACCAATGGAAAATCAATGAATTCTGCCTTTGGGGACTCTTTTGGGAGGTCTGTTGGAGCGTCTTCGAGGCCTCGTGGGCCGTCTGGAGGCTATCTCACTTGGGCGTCCGGGAGCGATCTCGTAGCGTCTCGGGGCTCTCTTGGACTATCTCGATGGCCTCTTGGATGTCTCGTGGCTCTTCTCTGGGCTCTCTGGGAGGCGCCGAGGCGGCGCCCAGGAGCACAGCCACCTCTGGCGGGACGCTGCCGGGGACCTGCCTAGGGCAGTTTTTGCCCGGGGACCCCCCAGGTCCAGATGCGTTCGGTCAGGATTCAGACGTCAAGGTCGGCTTGATCCACAACACTATGGAGCACCGCGCATCTCATGGCGGCATGGCACAGCTCATGTCAGCACTGTGCAGCACAGCACAATCCTGGGCGCAGTACATCTGTGGCCTGGCGAGGTCCCCTTGAACGGGGCTCAAGAGACGGAGGTCCATGCCAACGGGGGTCAGCCAGAGTGCAGGATCTCGCAGGATCCTGCAGAGCCAGGGGTGCATTGACCCGGGCTTGGGTGCATTCACAACGGTATGCTTTTGCTCAGGCGCCTGATCTCCGGGCAGGCGGCGGCGCAGGGCGCGCGAGCGGCCCCCCCCGGCAGGAGCTCGAGGAGCGCCTGGAGGCCATGCGCACCGACCTGCTGGCGCAGACGGCGAGCGCCGCCGCCAAGGCGTGCGCGCGCCGCACTCCCGCCTCGCCCGCCCCCCCAGGGGCGGGGGGAGGCCCGGCTCGGCGGCGAGCCCGGGGGCGAAGCTTCGGAGGTCTCGGGCTCGAGGCCTGGACTTCTCGCGCGTCCTCGTGGTCGGCCCGCGGCGGTTTGCCCACCTCGGGCCGTGCTCCGGCGGCTGCGCCTCGTGGAGGGGGGCGTGCCCGGGCCGTGCCGAGCGGCCGCGGGAGGCCCGAGCTGTGACCCCCAGAGCCGCCAGCAGAGGGGGCTGGCCTGCCCCGGCGGGCTCGGGAGTCCCCTGCGGCCGTCCGTTACCGGTTTGAGGCATGTCCCCATCTCCCTAATGTGTGGCATCATCTCACCTCGATGCCGATCTTAAGTATTGCCTCGGTTTCTGAGGGCGCATCCCTAAGACAGTCCTCGCTTTTTGCACGCCCATCTTAGGGATAGGGATCAGTTCGAGGCTGGTTATTCTGAGCAGTGTTCTCGGCCTTCCCCGCGGGCACGGGAAGCTGTGCAGAATGCTCGAGGGCGTCTGAGAACCGGGGGCCGCAAGGAGGGGGGGGATCGCAAGGGGGGGGGGAATAGCGTGGCCCGGGCCATGATGATTCCCCTGATATCATGGCACTCTTCTTTTTCAATTCGTCCTTGAACCTCTCCCCTGGGCCGCGCCGTGCCGCCCCCCCCCCCCCCCTCACTTGGACGCCCGCCTCCTGAACGCCCCCGAGAAAGGGGAAGTGTACCATGCGTCCTTGCGTCGTGAAGGCTGTCTGATCCGTTCGACCTCTGGAGCCCTCACCGAGCCCTGGGGACCTTCAGAAAAAGACTCAGGGGATGACAGGCGGTCCCATGGAAGGGGTCCAGACCTCTGGGGGTCCATTCTTCGCGAAGATCTCACGAGGTCGGGGAAAGCTTCAGGATCAGCGGTGAGGAACTCTCAGGCGAAACGCCCGGCCCGCCTCTTCGACGGGCCCCGGGATGCGACAGGGAGGAGTCATTCACAAGGAAAAGGAATGGAGAAGGAGGAGGAGGAGGAGGAAGAGGAGAAGGAGGAGAAGGAGGAGCAGAAGGAAGGAGTCATTCATAAGGAAAAGGAACGGAGAAGAAGGAGGAGGAGGAAGAGCAGAAGGAGGAGAAGGAGGAGAAGGAGGAGAAGGAGGAAGAGGATAAGGAGGAGGAGGAGCAGAAGGGGGGAGAGGAGCCCGTTCCCCGGTCTAATTATCTGCACGCTCCCTGTTTCTCTTTTCACCTGGCACGGGCGTAATGTGCAGCCTTTTATCGAGCCAGCGCGGGAGGAGAATGAGGAGGAGGAGGAGGAACCTCGAGGACTTAGGAGATTAGGATGCTGCTGTCTATCATTTACCGTCCCAGACTCTTTCTGGCTCTAGACGTCCGGCGGTTGGAAACAGAGCCAGGCGGCCGATTGTTCGCCACTTCTGGGCAGTGGGAGGCCCGTGACGGACCCGAGCGCCGTCAAACTATTGATCGGTAGGGCTAGATGGTCCCAGGGGAAGGGATCGGTGCCAGGGCCAGGATGGAGCGTTCTGGAGCGCTCTGGCACAGCCGCGGCGCTGGATGCATCCTCCAGATCCGCCTGATCTCATGGATGTTTTTCCCAGTCCGACTATGATTTGGGGCCATATGAGGCCGCGCAGTGGGGGGCGACAGATGAGGCGGGGTGTTGGGCCCTTAACAGAGGCCCCTGAGGGCCCCAAAGGGAGCCTTGAGGGCCCGAAAAGGGCACCTTTCTCCCTCCCCCACCCTCGCGCCCAAGGCCAGGCAGCTCTGAAAGACCAGGTCGTCGGATGTCGGGGATGAAGACAAACAAGAAGCGAAATGAACATCTGGGAAGAATCGACACAAATCAGGAGGAGCACATGCGAACAAAAACGAATTACACTAAACTGCTTTGAAAACAAACAGACAAACAATTGTTGTTCGACGCCTGCACATTGTTCATGTCTAAGTATTCGGACGTTATTTGATATTTGTGGGGGGAAGGTCTTTTCATTTCTAAGTGTTCCATCCTGGGCCTCTTCCGGGCAACTAGGGGGCAAGGAACAATTAGAAACGAGCACAAGTAGAACTGAGCGCGATTAGAAATGAACGACGTGTAGTTGTTCGACACCTGGCAGTTCAGGAACACGGCGGGCGTCCTGCGCTCCGTGTCAGCCCGCAAGGGCCCTCGCGGATCGGCAGGCGCCGCAGGCAGAGAAGGGCCGAGGGCCCCGCTCGTGAGGTTCCGCGCGGAGTCCGAGTGGATGGAGGGAGGAGGAGTGAGGAGGAGGACGAGTGAGGCGGAGGAGGAGGAGGAAGAGGAGGAGGAGGAGGAGGGGGGTTGAGGAGGAGGAGGGGGAGGAGGCGGAGGAGGAGGAGGAGGAGGAGGTCGAGGAGGAGGAGGAGGAGGAGGTGGTGGACTAGGAGGGGGAGGAGCAGGACTAGCACGTGGTTGAAGATGAAAGGCCAGGGGTTGGCCGACCCGACCCTCACCCGAGGCCTTAGACCCTTGGCCCCCGTCGCTGGCTGCAGCAGTCCCCTGCGTGCAGCTGAAGGCACTACCCTCGGAGGGCGGCAGCGGATCGGCAGAGGCGCGAGCAGGGAAGGAGGAGGAGGAGGAGGAGGAGGAGGAGGAATTGAAGCAGGAGGAGGAGGAGGAGGAGGAGGAGGAGGAGGAGGAGACACCTCTCTGTCTCCACATCCCCCCGAACAGACGAGGTGCGACGCCTCACCCGCCCCCTCGGGCTCCTCCTGCCTCGTCCTCGTCCTCGTCCTGTTCTGCTCCTCCTGCTTGTCCCTGCTCCTGCGCCTGCTCCGGCCTCCCTTTGTTTCTCCCCCCGATCCTGCCTCCAAGGTTATTGTTCCTACGTGCCCTCCCCGTCATCCTCCCTCCTCCTCGTTCCCCCTCATGGTTCTTCTCCTCCTGTGTGCTATCTCCTACTTCTCCTGTATTCCGTCTCCTCTCGACTTGTCCCTTCCTGAGGGGTCCAGGGATGATCATTGTGATGGTGGTGATGGTGTTGGTTTTGATAATGGTAAGAATCCGGATAACCATGACAATGTCGATGACTATGAATAGATGGTGAATTATGAATGATGCTGAGGAGGAGGGGGAGGAGGCGGAAGAATGCAGTGGAAAAGATGAGGATGAGGCGCACGATGAGGAGAGGAACAAAAGCGTGATTGGGGAGGAGGAGGAGGAGGAGGAGGAGGAGTGGGAGCAGGGAATGGGCATGGGAATGGGAACGAGTCTGGGCGGCCGGGGCCGCCTGCCGCCGCGGCGGCTCGGACCGAGCACTCGTGCTCGGCGTGCCTGCCCGGGGACTCCCCGGCCGCCCGGGCCTCCACCCCTCCGAGCACGCGACGACGGCAGGCCTCGGCCACGACGGCCTCGACGCCCGGGGCCAGCACGACGCAGGGCCACCGGGGACCGTCGCCCGGTCGTGCGCGCCGCTTCCGCCTGCCTTCACGAGCTGGCCCCAGGCAGCGCAGCTCCCCCCCGGAGTCGTCGTCGCCGCCCTCCCGAGGTCCTCCTTCAGCGACCTGTGGGGCTGCCCCCGCAGCAGCTCCAGGAGGGCCGCTCTCGCGACGTCCTCCTCCAGCGACTCGTGGGCTCCTCCCGCAGAGTCACCGTGAAGGTCGGCCCCTTGACGCTCGAAGCCCTCCTCCAGCGCCTCGCGGACGATCTCCACCAGCGACTCGCAGAGCCAGGCGGGCAGTCCGCGCCGCGACCTCCCGCAAGTGGGCCTCCTGGTTGGCCGCGATCACGGTCATCGGCACGTGGACGATGTTCTCGACGGACTCGGCCTTCGGCACCTCCACGATCTTCACGGTATCCTGGATCTTCACGAAATCCTGGGACACTATCTCGACCTTCGGCAAGCAGACGGTGTGCACGACGGACTCGGCTTTCGGCACCTCCACGATCTTCTCGGCACCCTGGATCTTCTCAATCTCTGGGACACGTTGTAGTTGTTGGTCTCCAGGTCATCCAGCCTGCCCTCCGTGAAGCTCTCGCCGACGACCGCGCCGTCGTCCAGCAGTTGCTCCCCGAAGTTCGAGCCGACTTGCAGCCCGCCCTCCGTGATGCTCTTGCCGACGACCGCGGCCTCGTCCAGCATCTGCTCCCCGAAGTACGAGCCGAACTCGCACTTGTCGCCGACCTCGGCCGTGTGCACATCGCTGTAGGCCTCGCCCTCCTGCAGCACGTGAGCGAGGTTCCCGACGTGCTCTGCCATCGTCACCTTCACGTGATTCTCGGTCCCACTGGCCTCGACCTTCCACGCGCGGATGGTGTGCCCGACGGCATCGGCCTTCGGCACCTCCACGAGCTCCCTTGTATCCTGAATCTTCTCGATCTCTTGGGACATCATATTCGGCACCGTGACGCTGTTCTCAACAACCTCGTTCGCGATCTGCGGTGCGTGGAAGACCGTCTCGACGTACTCGACCGACGGCACCTCCACAGTCTTCTCGACCACCAGTTGTGGGAAGGCGGGGATCGCGGCGAGCGCGTCGCCGCTCACGACCTCCCCATCCTCCGGCACCTCGACGCCGCTCTCGACGTGCTGCGTCAACTCGTCGTCCTGCTCGTCCACGTCCACCTGCAGGATGGCCTGCAGGCCCCCGATGAGGAACAGGCCCGTACCGCTGCCCTCCAGCTCGTGCTCGGCAGCGGTGCGCTGCCAAGCCTGCTCAGCGGTCCGCCGGGCCCCGCTGCTGCCACGGTCCAACGCCTCCCCAGCGAAGGAGCGGGCAGCCAGCGCACCTCTATCTCGTCGTCGCCGCGGCGGGCGACGAGGAGCGGCTGCGCGCTCGCCACCGCGGGCCGCTCGGGGCGTGGCCCGGGCCCAGAACGGCTAAAAAAATCGTGGGAGCTGGAGGAACAGGAGGAGGATGAGGAGGAGGAGGAGGGGGAGGAGGAGGTTAGGAGAAGGGGGAGGGAGAGAGAGGATAGCGTGAAGAGGATGAGTATCAGACTTTGTGTTTACTTTGCAACCCCGATAAAGCAAACCCTACATTGTGTCAATGCCAATCTGAAATAGTCTGGCCAACGCGCGATGCAGACCAAACAAACGTGAGGTGCTCAGCTTTTTCCGGAAGGCGGCGGGGGAGGATGCGGAACGGGGCGCAGACACATGCCACAGCCGCCCTGAATATTTGCACCTTGGGATCGCATTGCCATTCAAACTTCGGAGCCCACTGCCGTCGCCGTCGTCGCCGTCACCAGGGGCGCGGAAACATGGATCAGCGATCCATGGATTTGACGCGCGGTCGCCAAATCCATGGATCGGGGGAGGTGCCCTCCCCCAAATGCGGCCCGCGCCGCCTCGCTCGGCGGCGGGAACCCGCGATGCCTCCTGAAAACGGGGGCCGTCGCTAATCCACGCCCCCCGAATCCATGTCTGCGATCGCCTGACGTCGTCGCCGTCGCCGTCGTCGTCACCGTCGCCGTCGTCGTCGTCGTCGTCGTCGTCGCCGCCGTCGCCGCCATCGCTCCGCCGGCAGGAGCGCGAGCTGGGCCGCCGGGCGGGGCCCCGCGGGCGGCCGGGCGGGGGCTCCCCCGGCGGCGCGGGCGCGGGGGAGCCGGCCGGGCTGGCCGCGCAGTGCCAGGAGCGCCCCGCGTGGGAGGCGGCGGCGGCCCGGACATTTTCAAAATTCAGTCGGGTGTAGACGGTAATTGTCAAGCGGTGGCGGAGCGTCCTGGCTCGCCTATAGCCCTACCAAACAATGTTCTAAGAACCTTTTGTGGTTTCCACGAAATGGTCTTTGAACATTTCTGGTGGGGTCTGTCTTGTTTTAGCACATCGGGTTTCTGTTCCAAGAACATTGTTTTTGTTCTTAGAACATGTTTAGGTTCTAGGAACAGTTCGTGGTAGGATTCTAGGAATGCCGGGACGGTCGGTCCCTGCTCAAGATTGGAACATAGACATTACCAGCGGCGGCGTGCTGTTTCTCAATCCCTGGACTCTTTGAGGGTCACGGACGACGTCGGGGTGGTGTGGTGTAGATTTGTTTCCCAGTTTCCCTGAGGAAGTGGCGGAACATGTGTACACCAACAGTCCGTATACAACAGGATCTGTTTTCATGTGCGAGTTTCAGTGCAGGGCCAGAAAAAGCGTCGGTGTACAGAGCTCGGTTCCCTATATAGGCAGGACCCCAGATTAGGGGACCCGGCCGGTTAGTGGGGCCCTGGAGTCCCTAAATTGGCCAGAGTCATTAAGCCAGGTCTGCCGCAGGTGGTGTTTTGTCGGGTGACGGCAGTTCTGGCTGGTGGAACGGGGCGGGGGGGCGTCCCCCAGTACACATGACTAAACCAGGCCCCACTAAACCCAGCTCTTTCTGCCAACGCCTGATTCAGGGGAGGAGAAGCAGAAGTTGGGCGAGGGCTGGCAAATCCGCTGCTGCTAAACACAGCATTCCCGGAAGGGAGAAAAAACAACAACAATTCCCGGAAGAAAAACGCTGCGCGCCAAAACTAGTAAACGGGCTGCTTCCTGGAGGCAGAAAAATACAATTTCCCGGAGCTCCGTTTTAGCAGCCACGGGTTTGCCAGCCTTCGCTCGGCTTCTGAGAGAAGGTACCCATGCCGCTACCTGTCTCCCCTCGCTTTTGTTTTTCTTGCTTTTGTTTCCCCCCCCCTTTTGGGGGGGCATCCTGGGAGGCCCTCGCCGCCACGGCTGGATTCGCCTCGAAAGCCTGGCCAGAAGTCGCGTTGACCCAACAGGGGGTCCAGCGACAAGGGGGTAGTGCAATAGATCTGGTGCGATATATTTGCGGGTTTGCAATACATTTGGGGCGTGAAATGCACTTCGGTGCGCAAGTGTATTGCTGCATTTTCGCACGCAACACATTACTTGCAATACAATGCAGTACAATTCTCTGGCGCAGTACATTTGCAATACGATTGCCCAAAATCTAGTGCACCACCCCCTTTCAGATGGACCCCTTTGGGGTCACCCATAAGAAGGCCCCCCTGGAGAGGTCCGGGGGTCAGCAGCTGAATAGGGGCACTTTTCGGTTTACCTAGGGGTGGCGGCGTGCACGAGGAGTGGCGCGCGATGGTGGCGGCCGCCAGGGACCTTCTTAGAAACCCTCCTGGCTTTTCAGAGGCCTTTTTAGAATTAAGTCGGGCGTGTCCCTCTACATGAGTAATATTCAAAAATAGTCCAGCAATGGTATGTGGACGATTTTTTGCATTGTCGAATATCTCTGCATTGTTGTTATTGTTTAATCTATTTCGCTAAAAATCAGCATGTAGGGGGACATGCCCGACCTATTCTTACAGGCGGGTCGCTTTCTCATGGCGCCAACATTGCAGAGCGGATTTCGCTCGGAAAACGATACGGTGGGCCCAGGGTATCCTGGAGAATGTCGCTCCGGATTTCGAGCTGAATTTCGTGCGGATTTTTTGTTGCCAGACATGAAGACGTAACAACAAATCCATGCGAAAATCACGTCGTTTTTCACTCGCCGTTCCGGAGTTTTGCATTGGCAGAAATCCACGCAACATTTCGTTGAAGCACGTCTGCAAGGTCGGTGCAGTGAGCCTCCTTGGAAGGGGCCCCCCTTGTGCGCCCCCCGCCCCTGTGCGCGGCGCCAATAAGAGGAGGATAAAGCATCTAGCATCGCCCGATCCCTAACCCTAATCACACGAGGAAGTCGTTGCCTCACGTAGGTCCCCGGATGTGGGAGCATGCCTGCACATATGGGCGGCTTCGCTTGATGCGTCTGCAAGGAGACCCCGTATCAACAATGTGTCAGAGCCCTCCTAACTTCTGTCACCTCCCAGAAAGGATTTGGTATACTTCTCTTGTTTGGCAAAGAAGGTACATTGCCGTTTTTAATACATGCTCCGCGTGCGGGTCATGTATTAAAAATGCAGGGGTATACAATTAAAAATAACGATGAGCTCATGAGTACATTTATTCATAAATATTGTATTCAAAAACCCGATGTATTAAACATTGCCTTGTACCACGATTTCCAACGTGTCAACACATCAAGACGCCCTTGTTTCTTCACTTTCGGCATCGAGAGGCCTTCGCCGAGCCGCGGGGCCATGGAATAAGGCCTCAGGATGACAACCAGTCCCGTGGCATGGGTCGCGACCTCGGCCTGCTCCTCCTCCCCCTCCTTGCCTCCTCCTCCTCCTCCTCCTCCTCCTCCTCCTCCTCCTCCTCCACCTCCTCCTCCTCCTCCTCCTCCTCCTCCTCCTCCTCCCCATCCTCCAACGACGCATTCCTCCTTCCTCCTGCGCGCGCGGGCGCAGCCAGGGAGCTCTTTTCTCAGGAACGGCGCCTCCACGCCGCCGCAAGTCCGTCCAGTCGGTCTCGCGAGATGTCGCGAGAAGGCCAGAGCCGCACCTGCGGACCCCAGGCAGGCATCCGCAGCTGCGAACGCCGCCCACGTGCCACGGCAACCGAGACCCCTATCACTGAAGCAAGAGCGCCACGCTGGTTCTCCGGACACATACCCACACACCAGACTTCCTGGCGCTTTGTGGGCCCCAGAAGCGGCAGAGCCGTTTCTTCACAGTTTCCAAACAAATGTCCCTTGAAAATGGAAGCAGCAAGAAAACGGCGACCGGAAACGGCAAACAAAAACGGCTCCAGGACTGGACCCGGAGCCGGAACCGGTCAAAAAACGGCGACGGAACCGGTAAAGAAACGGCGTCGGAACCGGCAAAAAACCGGCAGAACGGAACCGGTAACAAAACGGCCTTGTCGTTGCCAGGGCCCACGAAGCACTAGACTTCTTGGCGGCGTGGAACACATTCGACGGGAGGTGCTCTGACGTGCTCGACCCTCCAGGGCCCCCTCGCCGAGACCCGGGGCCATCGTGCAACGACTCGGGGCAAGAGGCCAGCCCCAGGGAACGGTTTCGAGGCCTCCAGGGGTCCACGGCGCAGAGAAGTCACGACGTCGGGGGTCTGGGACCGCAATACGGTAGAGGGGAACAATTGCTGAACACTCCCCCTCCCCCCAAAACTCAATGATGGCACGCGCGGGGGAGACTGCGGTCGAAGTGCATCTCATCAGACCCACCACCAACTTTGAACTGAGGCGTTGACGGATGAATGTGGCATGCGTTGTTCCGAGGCCTGTAATGCTCCCCCATTTTAGCCTTCCTGGTCCTCCCTGGAGACCCTCGTCGCCGCGGCTGGACTCGCCCCGAGCATCCGGCCAGATGGCATTCCGGGATCGGCACCTTGCCGTCCACCCTGACATCTGGCGCTCCCGGAAACATCGGGGTGGCCAACTGAGTGGCCACGCGTGACGGGAGGGACAGCGAGTATCAGTGACGCGCGCTCCGTCTCTCAGATTGCACGTGTTGTTTCCCCAATGTGCTTGCACATATCGGGCCGGACGAAAGGGGGGGATTGGGAAAGGGGGGGTTACGAAATTTGCTGCATGCAGCTGGTTTCGGCCTCACCGAGGGGCCCATTCCTCGATACATAGCCGCCTCCGGCGCCAGGAGGCGCCGTGAAAATCAGCTACGTGAGCTGATTCTCAAACCCCCCCTTTGCTATCCCCCCCTTTCGCCCGACCCGAACATACGGCTTCTTCTCACTCCTGCTGCAAAAGAATCGGATCGGTCCGGAGATGGTCTCGCCATGTTGCGGCCCGTCGCCGCCTCGTTGCCGCCTCGTGCGCTGGATGTGTCTGGCGAGGCTTCGCCATGATGCCGCCCGGGGCCGCCTCGTTGCGGCCTGGTGAGTTTCACTACCCACCAAACCACCCCAACCCAACCCGAAGGCCCAAATTTATCCTCGATTTCCAGTGGGGGGGGGTCGGGGAACGTTGAAAAAACACATGGTATCCGTACCCCCCCCAACCCGAAATTCGGGTCAAACTCGGGTCTTCGGGTTGGGTTGGGGTGGTCTGGTAGGTAGTCAGAGTTGGGTGGGTCCAGCGAGGTTTCGCCACGTTGCCGTCCCGTGCCGCTTCTCTGCCAGCTTTAGCTTCCACTACTGATGTTGCACCACGTAGCTAAAACCACACAGCTGTTACACCACAGTTCTAACATCCACTGTGCAATACTCTATTGTCTTGGGTCCCAGCTGGCTCACATGCGTTCGTTTTTTTAGCATGTAGGAAGGTGGCCCACCCAACAGTAACACTCTGATGGGGCCGTCTAGCCAGCGTTACATTGATACGGCCTTTGCTCGACGAGCTTGGCCTTCAGGGGCCGGTTTCAGGCGGCGGGACCGTGCACGGACGGCTCGGGATGAACAGTGGGCTTTGGGGGAGTCCAAACTTTCGACTCCCCCAGAGGGCCAGCTGGCGTTTCATGACTTCTCGACTTGGGAAGTCTGGGGGCCCACGCATCCAATAGCTCATGTTTTGTTGGGGCGTCGGATCTCTTGGTCCTCCTCTTCCTGATTCCTGGTTCCTGATGGCTGAACAGAACGTCGTTCGTAGCCCCCCCAAAGGCCAGTCGGCCCTGGGGGGTTTATCGAACAAGTGCCAGGTGACCCTTGGACCCGTGTAGAGAGAAGTGACAGGTAAAGGCAGACATATAGAGGAGGAGGAGGAGGAGGAGGAGGAGGAGGAGGAGGAGGTCCAAGACAATGATAATCATAACGTCGGCTCCTCCTCCTCCTCCTCCTTCTCCTCCTCCTCCTCCTTCTCCTCCCTTTTTCCTTCTCTTCCACGTGTTTTCCGTTGTCGTTTTGGCTCAAAATATTTTCGGCCCGTGGCAGATCACGGAGGCTTGTGGTCCTGGACCAGCGCAGGACCCATTCCAACACCTCCCTCGAACTCGCGGGGTCGAGCTTCATATCCCCCGCCGCTGCATTCGCCCGCAGCTGGCCTTCAGATCGCGCGCGCACTGTACCAGAGGCGGGCGCGGGCTTCATCTCTCGCACCTCGACGCAGGCACTCCCCAGGGCTCGGTTGCAATCGACGGCGGTGGAAAAATGCTCCGACGACAAAGCAGATCTCATATCAACGGGAAGAACTACAAGATCTACTTCAGGAACAAATGGACAAGACCATCGCCGCCTTCAAGGTTATTGCAAGTGGGCTTGAGCCCCACATGCTGCGATTTCCTCGTGCGGAGCTGGAGCCGAGTTCTACGCTGGAGCGCTCCAGAATGCCTCCTACGATTGGTTCCAAGCAGCATCTGTCGCCATCAACGAGATTTGCCTCATGCTTCAGGATCTGGAACGAGAATGTCATGTACGTTCACTGGCGTTGATGTCCTTGCTCTCCCTCGGGTTGCTGCTCTGCACACAGCCATACGAGGTGGCCGAGACTGGCGAAGATTATCCGCTCAATGCTGCCAAGGACCCGCGCCGCTCGTTGTCTCCGCGAAGAAGTTCCCGCGAATGGCTCGACAGGAAGTTCGACTTAAGAAACTCAGCTAGCTCATCACCGTCAATCTCCCCCATCTCGAGGTCAGGGTCCACCGCGCGCACCCCTACCTATCGGTCAGCGGCTTGACTATCGCACGCGTCACGGCTGGGGCTTCTCCTAAGGCGGCTACCAAAGCGCGATGGCATGATGCCGTCGTTCCCGCTGGAATGCCCGTCGGAGAACGCGGCGTCATCGTCGCTGAGGCCGCCGCAGCCTGCGCGGATCAAGCGGCCGCGGCGCAGTGGCTATAGGACTCACTGTTTGCTCTGGTTTTTCCAGCTGCTGTCCGACGGCCTCAACGCTGCTTCTTGGCACGCTCATGCGCTATTAGGACGATCGCCAGCTCGACGCTACCCCAAACGCTACTCCCCGCCGCGCACGAGGCAACGCGCGCTGATTGCGCTGCAGAAGACCCGCGGCAACTTCGCCGACCTTCAGATCCTCGCCGAGTCCACCGAACACCACGACAAAGCGTTCCACTCCGCCTGCGACGAGAATAGGGAGACCGCTGGAGGCGTCGGCTTCTGGGTGCTCTACGACAGGCAGGAGCCCCGTCTCCCCGGACAGAACGCCCTCGTCGCAATGTCCCCCCTGTCGTCCTTGGACGCATAGCTGACGCAGGCGCGCACAATCTCATCCTGACCGGCGCCTTCAACGCACCTTGGCCGCCGCCCGAGAGCCCTGCGCGCCCCGCCGACGCCGCCGTGACGGGCCGCCATCATTACCAGCTCACATTCTGGAAGCGAGTCTTCGCATCGGTGGCGCAGGCAACCGCTCGCCCAACCACCCGCCGCCGTTCTGCCGGCGAGGCGGAGGCCGCCATCGACCGCTGATTCGCCCCCGCCGCTGCCCGCAACATCCTCTGCCTGGAAGTTCGCCTGGCCGTCGACGGCCGCCCGCTGGAAACAACCGGGCGAGACTGGTAGCGACCACGAAGTACAACATATTCGTCTCCGGCCTCGGGCGCAGGGCCCGCCTGCGAAGAGGGGCGCGATTGCCTTCGCCTCCGGCTCCAAGCACCGCGCTTTCCAGCGCGCGCTCTTCCTGGGCACGGTGGATTCGTCGGACTTCGACCCGCTCTCGAAACAGCGCATCGCGACCCTGGGGGCGCGGCGAGCTCGCGACGCCCTCGTCAAGACGCGCACCGCGGAGCAACATGACATCGACCCGCGCGTCTGTCAAGGGGCGCGGACCGTGACGCTGCGAGGCATGGCCCGCTCTGCGCGTCTCCGGGGCCCCCGACTTGCCTCGCCGCAGGCCGCGGTCACCGAGGCCAGCGCCTTTCTTTCTCAACGTCCACCACGGCGGGAGTTCCATCGCCGACGCCGACGACTTCGCGACGGAGGCTGGCTCGGCGCACTTGGACCTTGCTGACAGGTGTCGCCAGGAAGCGGCCGCCAGCTCTCGCGCTGCCTTCCGGCAGCAGGGCCGCCAGCTCGGGGGCGAACGGCGACAGCGTGCCCGCCGCGCAGGGCAACGCGGTGAACCCTGGAAGCCGTTCGCCAAGCGTTTGGCTTTCGCAGGCCCGCGCATCTCCACTGGCGCCCACCGCTACGTCGCCGCCGACCGGTCGTCATGCCCCGCGTGGCCCAGCGCCACTGGAGCCATGTCTTCCCCGCCAAGGCCGTCAAACGTCTCCAGCGTTAAGCGCTTCCCTGGAGTCTTTCCACATCGTGAACGCGGTGATCTGCCGATCTTGGTCTTTCACGACCGTCAATGCGCTGCCCGCGAGGCAGGTGGCTCTGCGCTGCGCCTGGACCTGGCGGACATCCTTACCACGCGTGTATCAACTTCCCTGTCGGCCTCGGATCCCCGGCCGAGCTCGTCCTCTCGCTCTCTGGCGGCGACAAGATCCCCCTCGTCTTGAACCTCTCGATGGCCGCGCTGCCGACAGGCGGCGACGCGCTCGGCGACTTCGAGTGCACCGGGGCCCCGGACAACCCCCGCCCCCTCGCCGCGAAGCGCAGCGGCATTGAGCTCGCTGCCTCCGCCGCGAACCGCAAGCTGCACCGCGTCGCTGCCCGGGCTTCCGAGGAGCAGCAAGGCTTCGTCAACGGTCGACAGCTCTTGAACAACATCGTTGAGGTCTACTCGGTCTCGCGCAAGCTCAGCATATTCGAGGGCGTTCACAAGCTCATGCCGTGCTTCGCCAGCATGGGCATCAAGGCTGCCTTTCCCAGCCTGCTGCGCGAATGGTTTCGGCAGGTCCTCGAGCGCTGGGGCATCCACGGGGCCGTGCTCAAGTTGCCGCGGGCCGCGCCCCTGCCCCCTCACTTCCTCGGGGTTGGCGGAGCACGGCGTGCACTTCCCTTCTCCGCATCGGGCGCCGCTCGATGCCGCGCGCTGAGCGGCGCGCTTTGGGCGCTCACCTTCTACCCGGGCGTCCGAGGCGTCGCGCGCGAGCTCGACCGCATCGGCCACAGACCCATCAGCGCTCGCGCCAAAGACCTGAGAAGCATTTTGGCAATATCAGGCGGCGTCGTAGCTTCCCCGCATCTACAAGCTGTTCAACTCCTTCGCCGGACTTCACCTGCAGGCCAAGAAATTCATATTCGCGCCGACCTGGGCGCCCCCTACCCCGCAGCTCACGCGCCAGATGCAGCAGTTCCTCGCCGACGTCTACCCCGCCCCCCTGGCGCGACTTCCTGGGCTCGTTTGCTGGCCCCAGCGCCTCTTTCAACGCAGTGGAAGGGCCCCTCCAGCAAGCGGCGGGCCGGAGTCAACATTCTCGGGGACGCTCGCTCGTCGCTCTGAGAGCTACATCGCTGCCGAAGTCCCCGGCCTCTCGTGCACGGGCCAGCCGCGCCCGCCCTCGCCGCGCCCCCCCGCCAAAGAGCTGCTCGCGCTGCGCGCGCTACTACGCGCAGCTCCATCCAGCACCGCCCATATGGACATCTTGTCCCTCAAGCGCTGGGCCGGGTTTGAGATGCTGCTGGGGATCGAGGCCACGCTGTCGTCCGCGATGGGGCGCGAGCTTCGATAGCGTTGGCGACCGGGCCTCGCCCGCGTCGTCTGCACCCAGCAGTTGCTGAAAATCGCCTTCCAATCTGCCGCGTAATTGACTGGCGCCGGCGCGCCGACTGGGAGGGCCAAGCTCTCCATCGCCCGGCTTTTCGGGGCGATTGTGAGCGACAGGCTCTCCCCGACGCGCAAGGTCGCGCTCTGCGTTGCGCCGGCGCTCGCTCGGCGCGCCCTGGAGAGCCGCCCGGGCATTTGAAGCCCCTCGCCGTTGCGCCGCTGCAGTTGGACGACGCGCGCTATGATGGGGAGATTCGCAGCAGGGCCCAGAGCCGCGGCAGGGCCCGAGGACGTGGACGCGCATCGAAGGCAAAGTCTCCACAACAAGCGTATCTACTCGATCTCCAGAACAACCTCGACTACGACGCCTTCGATCAGACAATCAGTAAGCGCCTAATACAGTCACGGTTTCCATTTCTTGGGCATCAACAGCGCGCGCGACCCCTTCACGGGCGTCGAGGGGGCCAAGCCAGTCAACCTTTCCCTCGTCCCGAACAACCCATCGCCTATATGCAGGAGTGCACTGAGGCATGGGTAATGCAATGGATCCCGAGCGTGTTCATGAACCCCAGCATCGGCGACTACAATGACTGAACGAAGTGGTGGGTTTCCTACAGGACAGGCGTCTTAAGCAAACCGCAGTTCGATGACATGTTCGGCCTCTGTCAAGACGGCGACGGCCGCCGCCAGAAAGCCGTTGACATGCGCGAGAGAAACTGGCACGCTACCGTCCGCGAGCGTAGCCGTCGCCTCGTGAACGACCATTCCGCGCAAACGACTGCAGCAACCCAGCGGGAACTTGGCGAAGAAGCCGTAGAACACCGCGCCCGCCGCCGCTGGCTCGCTGCTGAAACTATACGTGATGATGAAGACCACCTGGCTGCCCGACGATGCAGCACGAGGTGGCGGCGAGAATCCGCCCGCGGGCATGATCAGCATTCAGAGCTGGCCGTCGACGCTGACTGCCGAGCGGGCGACTCTGCGCCAACATCTTTTACGAGCACCTCTTTCAAAGCTGTGGCCAGTCCTCAAGACATTGTCCGGCGCCTAGACACAAGCTATCGCATGCGCGTCAAAGCGTCCAAGCTCAGCTATGTATTCGGCTGCCCCGTGGCCGAGAGCAAACAGAAAATTGATGGCGTTGCACACGACCTCACCTTCCCAAGGTTGTGGCCACGCCTATGCCTTCCGCGTGGCATCGCGTCATCCAACATCCTGCAGCGCATGGGGGCTCAACGGCGAAATCACGGATTGCGAGGGCGACATCGACCATGCCATCGCGCGCCTGGCTGTCGCTTACACGAGTTTCTGCTTCACGCGCACCAGCTACCAGAACAAACCGAGTCCCCGCCCCGACCTTCGGCTCCGAGGCCATGGCGGAGGCCAACCAGAACAACATCTTCAACAAGAGCGCCGCGGCTGTCGCCGCCGCGCACGGATCTCTGAGGCTGCCCGCGTGCCTCGTGGGCCGCGCGGGGCCATTAGGTCGCCCGTGGTTGGGCAGATCGCCCCCTTCAGCGGGCGTTCGCTCCTCCCCGTGTTTTCTGGCCGTGGGGCGGCCCCCACCGAGAGAGCAGTGGCCCACCTGCGATTCCGCGGTTGCGGTGACCTGCAGACCGCGGGGGTTGGACCCGCCAGTAGCCGGCTGGGTCCGGGCGGGTGGCACGCGGGGCGCGGACCGTTAGGCGCTGCACCAGCACGCGCCTCTTCATCCTTTTCGGTTGCCAGGAGCCTCCGCGTCCCTTTTAT